CAATTAATTTAAAGTTCACCATGCCTGCAAAGCCTGTTGAGTTACACAAGTATAATCCATTCATAAGCACATGTATTATTTGTCCACTGCACTATAAATATGTGTATGTTTATTAGAGAGTTTTAAAACCTACTTTGATGAAGAGTTTGTCCCCTTAATGTGTAATAAAAAGCAGTTTTCACTGGAGAAAAATATTAAGACTGAAATCAAATTTGGATCTCTTATCAGTTCTGTATCCATCATGTCACCAAAGAAATGCCGGTCTTCACTGTCACTGCGGTAGAAGTCGAAAAGCAGAATTTGTTTAGGAACGCTTTTTTCAATTCTCTGGTAACATACTGGAAGTATTCCTGTTCGCAAACTAATTGTGCCGGCCTGATCAGAGAGCTCAGTCTAGAGGCAGCATTTAATGAACACCGGAAAAAAAAAAGAAAAATGGGTATTTCCTGAACAAGCTGCCAAGTGTTCGCAGTGCTGAAAAACAACCATTTTTTATTACGAAAGGGAGGTTTGTCTTAAGACAGCCAAGGAGAAAACACCAACTCTTGTACTGAAGGGAGGACCAGTCACTTCCTTGGGAAACTAGATCAGATGACCTGGAATATAAGCTTGCCTTGTTGTGTTTGGTAAGTAAGAACCACCTCCAAGAGGCTATGCAGGTAAGAGATATAACCTGTTTTCTGTTTTGTTCATTAGGCCAGAAATGAGGCAGATAGGTTTGTAGGAGCAGTTGAGCTGAAGTCTGTGTTAGCTATATTGTAAAACACTTACAAGGACAGACTGAGGAAAGCAGGAGACGGCTGTCAATATAAAACTGGATTTAGCTGCTCATAAGTAATGCCAAGAACCCCACTTCCTGACAAGGGAATTCACTATGCAAATATCACGGGGCAAGGAGCTGTCAGTGAATAATGATTAACAAGCAGGCAGTGGCAATCTGGCTTATTCTTGAGCAAAACACTCGCTGGCACCAGTTTCAATTTAAGACGTCACCCAGAAACAGAGTTAATGACTGCATTTAATGGCAGAAACTAAAGGCAACTAATCATCGGTCCCGCAGCTAAGGAAAAGCCAGTCATGAGAAGAAGCATTCCAGGATGAAACAAGGCATGAATCAAATAAGTCATTTTCTCAGACGAACCTGTAAGTCAAGACAGGATGGGATAGTGGCTTATTCCAGAGAATAACAACCAGGAATCTAATTTCACCCTTTGGACTTTTATACAAGCATCTAAGGGAAGTCCCATTTTCTCCTGTCTCTAATCCCTCTTGGTTTGTCATTCAAAAAGGACCTTACAGGAGACTAAAATGCTGAAGTGTGATCAAAACCCGGCAAGCACTTTGGATCCTGGCCAGGACATGCAGTGATCAACACAGAGCAGGCCCAGAATCAAATCTAAGCAAGAGGAGAGGCGTTCCTAGAATTGGCAACTCTGCTCTGAAGCAAGAAGTCCCGCTTGGGTTTGGGCACATGGCCATAGAAGACAGGAGGGTCAGTCAGATGCAGACTCTGTAGAGAAGCTTGGCCTTCATGAAAAGTGGTGAAAATATATCAGGTTACTGCCCTCTTGCTCACCAAAATATAGAGTCACGGTTCAGAAGCAGCTGTTCCACCATTTTGGATCATTTAATTGAACCTAAAATTAAGCCAGTGCATTAGATCAGCTTTCTCCAATGTGGAAGCTTCCCCTCCAGGTATGCTGGAATTGTAATTCTGCTGGCAGTGGGTGGTGAAGACCGCAGTCCAACACATCTGGAAAGGGAATGTTTGAAGGGGGTACGGCAAATGCCGATCCCCCTCCTTTCAATGTATGTTTCCATACTGAGCTGTGGACCACCCTAACTTTTATCAGTTTTGGGTCAGCACAGTATGTCAATTCAAGGATAAACACTAGGCTTTAACATACAAGTGGCTCCTCAATGTCACACAGCGTGCAGGCTAGGCATCTGAATGGTGGGCTTCCTAACCTCCCATTCTTACTTTCCTCAACCCACGGCATGTTTCTTGGTTATGATCACATATCAAAGCAACTTAACAAAGCAAATATAAAAACTCCTGAAGAGTCCCAAATGACAGCAAATGACTTCACAAACAAAAATCTCACTCCTTGTTGAGAACTACTCCTTGTGCCCCACCCTGCCACCTTCCCTTACTAGTGTTGGCTGGAGAGTCTGACATACACACGTACACTCCACATGATTTGCTTCTGCTGGCATTTCTTCAAAAACATAACAGCACATTATAACATCAACAAATATTTTATTGCCAGCCTCACTGTAAATGTGTGATGACAAATCAGCCCCCAGGCACCTTTATGTGCATGTATACCCAGATGTTGTAATAGAATGTTTGGTTTGGGAACCCATTTTGTTGCCTGCTGATTATAACATTGCATTTGCAGGGGAGAAAAAGGAAGTGTCTCTTGACTAAAAAAAAAAAAAAAGAGCAAGAAGTAGGTTAGATCCTGGGGTCAAAGGCTCCCCTAGGCTGGCACCCAAATACTCAACTGACCAGTTGCAAAATGATGTCATGCTGACCAATTTACATGGTTGTTTTAAGTGCTTTGCGTACGGGAGATGCTACATAAATGACAAGCTTTATGCACAGAGCTCATGAAACTGCAAAACAATCTGTTCAGTTTAAATTCTGTCTTTGAGAACCTCAGGCACATTACTACCTCTCTTGGCACAGGAAAAGCTAAACGGTCTAAAAATTACCACCTATCAGTCTTCCTCCCAGTGTCCTAGCTTAGAAGCTGGCTTTATGTATATTGTGAGAAGCTTGGAAAACAAGTTATTGCCATCGCTTAAGCAAGAGCGTTTCTCCTTAGCTTTTTCGTCAGCCATGCCCTTCTTCAAACTACTTCATTCCATTCCTCCCACCCTTCATTTCTCCTCTTCCAACTAAGCCCAGCATTCCACTAGCACGCCCGGTCCTTACTGAGTTAGGGAAATGGCCCTCCTAAGCATTTTTCCAAAAATAAATTAAATGCCTCAGAATTCCCAAGAGTCTGAAGCGCTTAACTTGCCACCCCCACTGCTTACTTCTCAGTGACCCTGTTTAAATTGTGGTTAGCACATATTTCAAGCTCTTTTATAAAAGGAATGATGCACAGGAAGCATTCTAAATGACACTTCAGCAAAAAATCTGTTAAACATGATTGAGCAACTGTGTCAGAGGGCAGGTTGAGAAGAAAGAATGAAATATGCTGGTGCTAGATACAAATCTGAAGGGGAAGGAACTACAAATTCTATGAAAAAAGTGGTATTTAAATTACAATAGGATACCTTTTCCTTTAAGTCAGTATTTACATGGTGGGGGTGGGGGGTGAAGAATATAATGAATGATTGAAAGGAACCTGGCAAGATTTTTAAAGTAAATAGGTTCAGCTTTATCTCCTTCCTCCCTAAGCACACTAACTGAAAAGTTTATTTTTTGTTTATCTGTCTCCCTCCTCTAATGAACTAAAGGAGGACAAGATAAAATCCCCATAATCATTATGTCATGCTCAAGGAAGCTCCGCCCCAAAACTGCACAGCCATTACATGACAGGAAGTGTTTTTTTTAAAAAAGAGGCATTGAATAAGTCTCTAATAAAATAAGGGAGACTATTTACAGCTCTTCAACCAAGATCTTCCTGAAAGCAAGCATAAACTGACAGCATGATATAGAGCTTTCTTTTTCCACCATCTCTCAGTCTCTAGAAGACCCTTCACATGTGAACTGTTAACCGTACTAATGCTAGGTAGGACTAGATGAGTGGGGATGATGGGCGATGTTGCAACAGATCCACAAGCCTGCTCCAGAGGCATAAACTAGTCTCTGTATAATGAAGAAGTGAGGAATTCAGGAAACATGGGGATAAAAGAAGTTGCGGTAGCCCCTAGCCAATTGTGGCTAATCTCAGAAACCAAAGCAGAGTCAGACCAGGTTACTATTTAGAGGGGAGACCACCAGGAAATGTAAGGTGGGAAATCAAAAAACATCCTGGGGGGGAAAAAAACAGCAGCTAATTTCTACACATGGATGTGCTCATGTAATCACCATAATCTGAATTCAAGTCCAGAGAGTCTTTACCTTTGTTCAACCCAGGTAGTAGCATTTAATTGATTTGGCTAATTTCACAAATAGGTAAGTGGGGTCAGCCCCGAATGGATTATTAATTTAGAGTCTTGACTAAGGAGTTAAACACACCACAGAAAGAAAGAACAGCAAACTCTCTCTGTACTGTTGCTACTAAACCTACAACAGGCAGGAGCTAACAGTCACAAGGAATTGAGTCTGACTCGACATTATCCCCACTCCCTGTTTAGCATTTGGATTAGGGCATTCCCTAATCCAAATGCCAAACAGGGAGTGGGGATAATGGAGATTTTAGTCTGAAACATCTGAGATGTACCAAGTGGTAAAAAGTTGTCAGGTGGATGCATTTAAAAAAAAAACCTTAATCTATCCAGAGGCCCCAGTTTGAGGCAGGTGGTGGGCTGAGCATTATGGGAATTGCAAGCCCAGTACGTAGCTAATGGGTGATTTCAGGGCAGTGACTCTCTTCCAGCCCAGTTACCTGATAGGTTTGCTGTTGTGGGGAAAATAGGAGGAAGGGGCTCTATATATAGCACCCTTAGCTCCTAAAGAAAAGGCGGGATATAATTCTAATAAATCAGCCATCAAAAACACATTGCAGGGCACCAGACTGGGGGAGGCTGCAGATACTTGGACTTGTGACTCAACACCCCCACTGCCGGCTGCTCTAAAATAGCACGATGGAGAGCCTCCTCTTCCTGCCCCCCAAAGGGAGAGAAATCCCTCGCCCCACGGTTTACATGACGTCATATCTATGAAGAAACCGGTGACGACGATCAGGGCCTCTCCCTGCCCGAATATCGCCATTAAACACCGGACCCCATTTTCTTGAGGGAAAGAGGGCGTCGTCGTTGTCGAACTGTGGCAGGAGAGCGGGGAAGCGAGCGGGGCTCGGAGCGAGGCCTAGTGGCGTTACCTGAGGATATTGTGGGCCTCCATGCTGCGGTTTTGGTTACTGGAGCAAACCACAGCCACCCGGAGCGGCGAGGAGGGCATGGCTGGTTGGCGGGGCGCCCGCCCGGCAAGGTACAGAGAGAGTAGGGATGGGGGAGGGGTGGGGGCCGGCGGAGGGCCCGCGGCGACGCTTCCGACGACGGCGGGGACGACGCTGCTGTTCCTACCGGCGGCGATCGCTTCCTCCTTCTCCCTCTCCCACAGAAACAAAATGGCGGCCGCACAGAGCGGAAAAGGCGGGGCCTGGCGACGTGTCGGGCTCTTCCGCCGTCACTTCACTTCCGCTTTCCTGCCTGCCAAATCATAGAGGAGAAGGGTAGAGCGACTGTCCAACCTCGCCTCTTGTTTCGTTCTTTATCGTTCCGTGAGGTAAGTTTTTTTTTCCCCCCCTTCAATCTGGTCTGTGAAGAGAAACGGGATTACGGGGGACAAGTGTTGCCGCACTCCCATACTCGCATTTCTGTATCATTATGGAAGCCGCTTCCGGCGCACCATAAAAGGAACGGGCCTTCAGGCGGGGAAACAGCGCCGCCCTAATGGCCGTGGAGTAGCTGTTGTACCCGAATTATGATTACCCGTTTAACCGCCGTAGTTGCGCTCAAAGAATCCTGGGAACTGTAGATCGTTCGCGGCGTCGAGCGCTCGGCGGGAAGCGGCCTTTTTGCCTCCCGAGAACTACATTTCCCATGACCACTTGCTCTTACCTCAGAGAAACGTAAGAAATGGAGTTCTGAGGAGCGGGCAAAAGATCTCTGACAGGCTTTCGTTTCAAGCAGGTGCCTTCCAGAGGACTACACCTCCCATTCTGACTAGGTATTCTGAGAGTTATAGTTTCACCGCATCTGGAGAGCAGGCCAACTCTGAAGCTGAGTTCCCAGGACAACCTGGCTGCGTTCACCCAAGACGCTTATCCTGGTCATTGGATTAACCCACTTTCTGGGTTTGTTCAATGCAGTGACCTATCAGCTAACCAAAGCCTGTGTTTGTACCTCATGCTCAACCATAAAAAATAACCAAATTTAATGTTGACCAAAATTAGTATGTTGTGTGAATGCCATTGTTGGAGTGTTATCTAATATGGTTAAATATTTTGTTTCTACTCTGAGCCACTAACCATAGTGTGAACCTTCATGGTTCGTATAGGGGCTGGATTGAGCAAACTATGTTTTTTAACTGCAACATACTTTATTCCATGAAACTAAGACAACTGCTAGGTTATAACGTGGTTGGCTTGTTTGTGTGCAAACCTGGACAATGTTTATAGGTCAGTGTGTTGGGGTGGACTTAGAAAAGTGGGTTAATTCAGGACGATTTAGTGTATGAATATGTTATGAACACATCTAGAGAAGGGATGGGTGGGTTCACCCATTATTTTAAGCCATACTAACTACACTTTAATCAATAAACTGCCATTTGCAGGGTTTGCACATGGCCCTAAGAAACAAACAAGCAGACTGCCTTTGCGGTTGGTATGATGTATGTGATGGTTAAGTGGATTTCAGTCTGAAATAGAGGTAAACCAGTTAAATGGGGAAAAGCAAGTTGGTGATGGGAATCTCTACCTGGAATTTCTTTCCCAGCTCTTTCCAGCAACATAGTTCCAAGAAGTTGTTAAAATGTTGGCTAGAGCTTCCTTAGAAAACTGACCAGAGACATCACTGCAATGCCTGGGATACAGCTCTACCTTTCCTTCCAATATAAAAGCCTCCGCTTGGGAAAGTGCAAAAACCAATTTAAAAATATCAGGGTTAAGAAAACATTAAATTGCCTTTCTCCTTTTGTCTTATGAGGTTTCGCTCTACTTCCAGTAGGAAAAAATAGAAAAGTTGGGACTGAAAAAAATTCTCATACTCTAGACCCGTTTCTGAAGTAATAAATGAAAGCGATCACTCTTCTGAAACAAGGCTAAACAGATCTAAATAATCCAAATATGAAGGCCTTGTCTAAAGCCAAGAGACATGTTGCTCAACTGATCATGCACTTCATGCACTTTTAATCAATCAGTCTCACAAATCAGCTTTTAAAAATTCGCGTTTAGTTCCATAGACAGTTGACATACATTTTCATCAGCAGAACTGACTTTTGCTGGGCATCCTGGTTTCCTAAAAACACTTCCGGTGAATCCCAGCCACACCAAATTCTTTGTAGTCCTCAAGTGTAAACCACATTGGTTGAAAAGACGTCAGCTGACTAATAATAGATGCGCCCACCCAAGCTGCGCAGGACCGGTCTGGGGGCGCTATGATTCGTATGGGAACACCGTTTGGAACTTGCTGCTCAATCTCTTTAAAGATTCTTTCATCCAGGCCCCAGAAGAGAGATGACCCTCCTGAGAGGACCACATTCCCATACAGGGGAGCCCAAATGTCCTTGTCACACTTCCGGATGCTCTTGGTGATCATGGTGTGGATGCCTGGTGCCTCAACACCTATGGTCTTGGGTGTAAAAAGGATTTCTGGCGCTTGGCAGAGACGCAGATGGATTTTGATGGCATTCCCATCTGGCAGCTTCAGGGTCTCCTCCACCTTCTTCTCAGCTTCTTGCTTGGGATCCAAAGCCACATAACAAAATTGCTCTTTGATGACCCTCACCACACTTTTCTTGGCTCGGCTTACCGAAGCAGGGTTGTTCTCCAAAAGGAGGCTGGCAAGGTAATCCGTCACATCCCTTCCTGCGACAGGGAGTCTGGATACTCCATGAGGCAAGCAGTATCCGTCATAAATTGGGACAGAATGCGTTACTCCATCCCCACTGTCCAGCACCAAACCAGTGGTACGAGCAGAAGTGTACAGAGCTAGAGTAGCTTGGATCGCAAGGTACAAAGCCGGAACCTTAAAACCTTCAAACATTAGCTCTGTGATTTTTTCTCGATTCTGCAGTGGATTCCTGGGGGGCTCTGAGAGAAACACAGGCCTTGTGCTGGGCTTCACCTTAAGTTCATGCTTGTAGATATATCTCAGCAGCTTCTCCATATCATCCCAACAGGAAATAATCCCCCGTTCAATAGGATAATTCAGCAAGGCCCCTTTCTTGGAAAGGGCTCTGCCCCCAATATAAAATTCCTCTGCTCTCTCTCTAAGTTGACCAACAACAGATGGGACAATGGATTGTGGTTCAGACTCACCAGAAATCCCAGCTTTGCAAGACCCGGATCCATTATCAATTATTACAGCTGGTGTTTGTAAGACTTTGATATTTAACATGGCTCTGTCAGCAAAAGAGCCCAAATACTAGGAGATCTCTTGATTTTCCTCTGGGATCTGGGCTTTTTCAGAATGACAGATAATGAAACATTCTCAGGTTTTTGACATCACAAATGGACAAGTTCTGCCCTATTTAAACAGACAAGTTGGCAGTTCCCTGAAGCTTTGGACCATGACTATTTTTGCCATCAGCTGAAGCTGATGGGAGCTAGTCCAAAACCTCTGGAGGGTGCCAGGTTACCTCCCTCTGACTTAAATTATGATTTCTCTCAAAGAATCCTGGAAATTGTAGTGAGGTGGGGTATGACAGTGCTTTACCAGCTTGTTAATCTTAAAAATGTCTCCTTTCATGGCAGCACTACAGTATAAAGAATCAAGGCAGAGAACTAGGACCTTTTCTAAATGTCCTTATCCCACTCCACAAACTCAGTTTTGGAAGAAGCCATGGGATATAAAGCATACTATGATCTGCGTAATATAAATATAATGGATATGAGAATAATCTCCATGAAAGATGTGGGCGTTTCCTCTGAAACAGATTCTTATTCATCTACTTGCTAAACAAACTTTTAAAAAAATCTAGCCAGGCTTCAGAGGTGGAGTTGAAAGATACATAGGTGCCCATAAGCAGCATATTCCATCCCCATGCTTTGCAGCACAGAAAATAAATTGAGCCTATTTGTTGAATATCAAATATCTGAAGAAAGTTATTATAGCTCTGAGTTTGGGGGCTATCGAATATAGTCAGGAACTACCATGGAAAATCCCAAAGATGCTATGATAGAAATATTAACAGATCCAAGAAGTAAAAGGTTTTTCTCTCCTGTAATGAATTCAGTCAGCTTATGGTTGGCTAAGTGGTAGATCTAATGAGGCTGCAGTTGAATGCAAATGCTTTACCTTCTGGGCAAGGAGATTAATGTTAGCCTCATGAAGGGTTTCCATCAAATACTGACAAGGAAGCTCTCAGGAGTCATTTATGAAAGGAGAATTTTGCTGCATCCCTTCCCAAATTTCTCTCTGTGCAGAATTTTTTGCTGAGAAAGGAAGAAGTAAACACCCACCCAATGATATTCCATGGCTGAAATTAGATTGGAATCTAGATTTCCCCAGTCCTAATTCACCCTAACTGCTAAACCACGGTGGCACTCTCTTGAGACTTCCTATCCCTAATTTCTGTTAGCAGAACCTGAGAAAGCTGTTGGTTAGGCCAACAGATCTACGCTAGATGGCGGTCAAGTGTTGCAAAGATTTGAATCCCCAGAGCAGGCAAAAAAAGTGAATAGGGTTAAATAAATAAAAGTAATGATGGATGGATTCCTTCCAGCTAAGGTTGTCAATTGGCCAGCAAAGAAATTGGGCTGGCCAGCTCTTTTGCATTTAAATGAGGTGCCAAATGCACAAATCAGTATCTATAAAGCTTTAAATAACAGAGGGATGGTGGCTTGCTGACAGAGCTCTACTTAGCACGCAGATTCCCAGTTTTGATCCCAGTAGCTCCCTAGAAAAAAGCCTGCTAGCTAGGAAAGGAAAACACCATTTTCTCTTGGACAGAAACCTTTTGCAACACAATCTCTGTCTTGCTTCACTTGGCTTTCCTAGTTTTGTTCTCCCTTGACTTTGCCTTGCTGGAACTTAAGTTTCTGTCTAGGATGGCAACTTTTTACCCAATTAAGACCGCTACCCAGAGCAGAAAAAGATGAAGGTCTTAGATTGTAATCATCTGTACATTAAGATTCTCTGTTTTCTTTTGGGGGGGGGATATTCCACTGATGCACAAAGGCCCACTTTCATTGTAATAAGCCACCACACCTTAAAAAAATCTATGACAGTTATTGGTATAAATCAAGATTATTTGGTGAACAAGGGAAAGGCAATCTAGCAAGACTGTCTTCATCTGTACGTAGCAATGAGGGGAGAGCTGTATCAATTCACTGAAAGAGCTGAGCCCTGCAAAAAATGGGTATGCACAGTATTTTGCATAAAATATGATTTT